CTGGCCCAGGGAATCATACCAGCTCTGGCCAGCTGTATAGAGGTAATCAAACAAGATCCATTGGTCTTGTCTTTTGTAATAAACACCTCAACTTTACTAACATTCATAGAGTTTTGCAAAGCTCTGAACTGGGGCCACACAAAGTTAAATGTACAGCAGTAATGCTAACATGTCACTCTTGATGTTTCTGTGTGTGAACCAGAACCAGAGACATAATCTAGCGGTTGTTGAAGCGGTGGGGTTCACCCTCTCTCAGCTTCTCCAGGCCAAAGATGCAGCAGAGAAAATAATCCCGTAAGCACTGCAGTGGCACACCAGTACCTGTCTCTGTTCTTTACTGTGCTTTTCACTCAGAAGATGTTAAATTCACTTCCTGTGTAGGGTGTTACATCCATTAGACACTGTCCTGAGTTATGTAAAGGTCCCTCCGTCTTTTCGCAGTATGGTCCTGGCCTCCAGCTTACCTTCACACTTGTTATCAGTCCTGACTCCTGATCCAAATTTTGGCCTGGCACCTGCTATTGAGTGTGCGTGGTGTCTACACTACTTAACATGCAGGTGAGAGCTGTGTGTCAGCAAACTTGTATTTACCCTCTTCTATTATGTGCAGTTGTTTCACAAACAGTGTAACTTTACTGATTATAATAATAATGATCTGTCTCTCTTCTGCTTTTATTTTGAAGTATTGTGGATAAACGAGAGCTGCTAGCTCATGGAGCCCTGTCACAGTGCAGTTCACTGTTAGTGTCACTAGGTGATGCTATCGCTGTAGGAAACAAAGAAGAAGGAATTGAGTTGGTAACAAAATTAACACTCTTGTTCTTTTCTTTGTTTATTAATTGCTTGAGACAAATAATGTATGTCAGTACTTTTTATTACTGCTGACCAATTTTCAAAGCATGCATTACATTTTTCTATTAATATCTTAATCGGTAAGAGCTCAGTTGATTTTGGTTCCTGTCATCATGTTATGAAGATCAATAATGCAGAGATGTGAAAATTAGTTAAGACAAGTGGTACATCACTGTGAACAGTGTTGGTGCATTAAAGGAAGCTTCAGTTTCAACAACAGAAAATCCCCAAGGGTTAAAGCTATAAGACTTATTATGTAGTTGTTTCTTGCATTACACAGGTTGTAAAAACGAGGGTTTCATTACCTTTTATGATAAAAAAGAATTGAATTTTCATACTGAAAGGCAAAAAAAATCAAAAACTAATGAAACATTTGCTAAACATGTTCAGGAAAATGAGCCAAAGTGCAATGTATAGTATATTATACACTACTTGTGATCTTTAGAGTGAAGTATGCAACATTACCAGTATGGAATGGTTTAACTGACATGGGCATTTTTCCATCTGGTGACCCACTTTAGCTTGTCTGTCCTCTGCTGCGGTGCGTAGGGAACCTTCTGGCCTCCTGCCCAGTGGGAGACCTGAATACTCAAGTGTGTGACGTTCACCTTGTGGTTGCTCTGTGCGCACTTATCCAGGCCTACCTACAGACTCGGCCAGCCTTGGCCAGAGAGAGTGCCTGGGTCCTCAACAACCTGACAGGTGAGAGCAGTCTGGTGCAGTCACCTCTGGTCTCTGCTCAGGCCCAAACACATACGTCTGCACTGATTTTGGTCTTGAAAATGTGGAAACTGGGAGGGGGATTTCTGTTATACTCAGCAGTGTCTAGTTTAGGAAAAGCTCATAGAAGCAGACATTATTAGGGCGTAATTAGGCATGCACGTTGTACACTAGATCATTGTTGATACCTCGCCCAAATGGTTTTGGTTTGAACTTTTTATAGACAGGTTACTTATATTTGTGCAACAAAACCAAGTAATTGATTGATTGATGAAATTAGTTGGCTTTTACATGAGTTTTATTGAACCTTTTGTGCTACACACATCTAAAAATACAAACACGGACTTGTATAACTCAGGACATTTGATCCAAAGTATTCCCAGTCTGATTATTATTTTACTATTGTTGTCAGTAACTGTATCAACAGATCATCAGCTGTTTGTCTTTAAAAGGGTTTGGCATCTAGCCATTTTGCCATAGCCGTGTAGTTTATGAAGAAGTTGTTTGTCATGTTTCTTTTCATTCCTTTATCAGTATCTTTGGTGCTAAATTTATGTTCATTTTACTGATCGTGAAAACCTGAATGAATTTATGACAAGAGTTTCCTTCCGTACACACCCGAGGACTGATGTATTTATTCAGAGTGACTGTGTTTAATGGGATTTGTTCTGACCCCTGTCATGTCACTCTCTGTTCCAGCTCACTCCAGTGATTTCTGCTCTGCTCTCCTCTCCTTCAACTTGGTCCCTGGACTGATCCAGCTTCTGCCTTTCTCTCAAGGCATCAATACATTGGTCAGTGCATGCCAAATTCAGACTTCAGTATTATTGTATTAGTAGTATGCTTCAGTTATTGTGGAACATAATGATCAGCATTGTATTTGTTCTGCTGCTCTTATACTGGGATGAATCTAGAGCTTGTTCCTTTGTTGGCACACAACACTACATTGTTATAGCACCATCTCACTGGTCTGTGCCTTCTCATTGTCCTCAGATCCTCAGGGTTCTTGCAAATGTTTCCCACAAGAAAAAGTTCTGTGTCCAGCTGGGCCAGCTTGGATTACTGTCTGCACTCTGTGCCACGCTTAAAATGACCGACCAAGAAATGGTGACCCTGAGTCTGGACATCCTCTTCATGTTGGTATCTAGCACGCCACAGGTAAGCAAGAGCACTTCAGTGAGCGAAACCAAATCACATAATGATTAGCTTTTGCTAAGCTGCCATCTTTGCAAAAACCTTTACCAGTGTTGTCTTGGCTGATGCGTTGCTTTTTTTTATTTTAGTTGGCTGAAGAGTTTGAGAGGCAAGGTGGATTGTCACTGTTAGAAGCCATTCAGTACAACAGTGAAGGAGAGATGAGGCGAAGAGCAACATACCTGCTGGAGCACCACCTACTGTTACTCTAACCATACTTCACAGTGAAGACATCTGTATAGTTTTGTCCTCTGGTGAATCTGTGGTAATCAAGAAATCAAAAAATGAGTTATTTGATCTGTTGTGCTGCAGGTGACCAACACACCAGGACACAGTGTGTCTTTAAACAATGCCACAGAAACTAATGCCTGGATATCAAGTATCATGTCCTCAGGTCATATTACTGTATATTATAACAGTATTTTATTAGCTGTAAAGATGAAGTGTATATATAT